GCGTCTGATCGCTGTGTAAGCGATCTATTCCGATTCTCCAGTGCCCGAGTTAGGCAAACTTCTAGCGCTGTGAGGACACAGCCTTGCTGAGCCAGCAAATTCTTACCCTACTTGCCATTACTGATGTTTACATGTTGCGGCAATAGCTGTGCAACACTGTTCGCTCGTCGCGAACATTTTGGGCAGTGGCTTACCTCTACTATCTCAATTTTGGGGCATAACACCAATTATTCTTTGTTACATGTGTTAACTGGCACTTGTTGTGACTCGGCTGTTTCTTATCTAAGATTTAAGGCCAACCCCAGTAGTTGTTAAAAATTTTTATCTTCTGGGATATAACACTGTCGCCCATAGAAAGTGAACCCATGTTTAGGTGGAACATGTCTCCTCCATCTTCAGGGCTGAAGAGTAAGCCAAACAAGGCTTTGCTTGCTGCCTGCTTCAGGCATTATATTCCACAAGACAGAACTTTTTTATTTCTTATCAAATCAGTTTCGTATTAACTGTACTGTCATTTGTGCTTTAGTTTTAGGATATTATTTGGTTAATTTTTATTATTTCAGGTTTATCTGAGAACTATCTTTTTTTGCTTTTCTATTATCATTTATTTGGTTTACTTCCTGCTTAGCAGAAACCTATCATACTATTTTTGATTTTAGAGGTCGATCCCACTTAGTGTCTGGATGTCACACTCAGTATGTGGCTGGTGGCTTTGCATTACTTTTAGTGGTTGAATGTACTGAAATTCCATTTGTAAGATGATTATTTTGTAATATTTTTAGAATGGATGAGATTTAAAATCCAGATTTTCTTTATCCTGTTATTCCTTTATTTTTCCATTACCATACTCAACATTTTATTTCCAAAAATCATCTTCACATGCAACTACATTACTATGTTTTCAGTAAATTCTAGTCCCACCACTGAACTTGGCATGTAATATCCACTGCTTCTTGAAGGCTCCACGAGATTAAGGAAAAAGAAATTTAATGATCTATTGTTATACTATTTTGAGCTCACATTTAGCATCAGTTTGACATAAAGAAATAAAACAAAGCAACACTATCATGGGCTTGACACAAAGAAACAAAAGAACACAAACACTATTATGTTAACAACATAAATCACATAAACCTAAACATTCTAGTTTCTCAGCTAATGCCAGTATGTCATAAAGAAATAAAATGTTACTCTAACATTACCAGACAATGTAATCTGCACACCTAGCAGCAAGTAACATTATTACCACTCCAAGGAGGAACAGACAGACAGTTTGTTCTAAAATCAAGTGTTTATAATGTGTTTGACATAATTTTTCTTTCCATTACAAGCAGCTCTGAGGACCAACTAAACTAAGTCTTTCAGCACCTTTCCTGCAAGGGGGGGAAAGAGAATTTAAATTTATTGACCACTGACCTCCTTCTAATCCCTAGGCTAAGAATGGAAGGGGCTTTATCACCATGTTCCACGTGGGCACAGGAATATATCCAGTTTTCTTAACTACTCCAGGCAGCAGAGTACTGCTTGAGCAGCTAATAATAACTCAGCTAGCATAAAATCTCCAAGCCTTTTAAGGAACCCAAGTTTCACTACCATGCTCAAAGAGCCCACCAATGGGCCATATCCTGAACTAGATGAATCCAATCTACACTTTTATTAGGATGACATACTTTAAACAATATGCTTAACAATTCTCTACCTTAACACAATTTAAACAATTTCACCAAAAACTTACTTTCACATGACTTTGTGCTGCCAGATTATATATTTCTGTGGGTCGCACTGCACTGATAATCTTAACGAGGCAACTACTATCTGTCATATCCCCATAATGCAATTGCATTTTTCCCCCCCGATGAGACATAGGATCGGCATAAAGGTGCTGAATACGAGCAGTATTGAATGTACTTGCACGTCGTATAATGCCATGGACTTCATAGCCTTTACTTAGGAGAAATTCTGCCAGATAAGACCCATCCTAAAAACAAGAAAATACAGTAAATAATTTTAAATAAGATTTGCACATCACTTAAATATTACTTCTATCATTAGCAAATTTCAGTTAATATTATTACCATTCTCATCGTTCCTGTTTCTTTTTAAGCTAATGCTGTCACCATTATCAAAACCAACAGAAACACTAACTGAATCTTTGTTATTTTTTATGTCATACAGTGCATCACTGAAATCCACAAGAAACTTATCAGAAAACAGCTGGCTACTAAATTAAATAAACAGTACCTTGACTGTCTCCTTATAAGTTCTTTAAACATATAAAATTAATTTGAAACTGTCCGAACAAAAGTCTCAAATTTATCACATAAACTGTCTAAGATACACTGGAGTCTCCATCTGTTGTCCAATTCAAAACATACTTAGATTTTCATCCACTGACCTTCTGTGACTGTTAATGTAGCAAACTACAACCAGACTAACAGATACTTTGAAACCATTAGAGCACAACCATGAAATTTCATGTTCTTGCTTCCGTGATTTATTTAATAGCACAGTAACTGCAGATACATTAAAAGACCAAATTATAAATACAGGAATTCAAAAGGAATTAAATGTGTTTAATTTAAATAATAAAATTATGAATAATAAATAACTGGATACATCATGTAAAAAAATGGAACCTTGCCATATGGCCAGACAAATAATGCATTAAATTCCTAAAGAAAGGGATCAAACCATTCAGCAAGACAGGTTGAATTTGAAAGCCCATATCTCGAGACTGATGCTCATGATGGTGGTGGCAGTGGCTGTGATGTCAACTAAGTACGTTATGCAGCACTGACTGACATATGACAGGATGATTATGAGTAATGATGCTGGAGGGGCAAGTGAGGGAGTAGCAGTTGTAGCCTATTTTAAAATATATCTTGGCATATCCCTGGAGATGGGACACCCAACCATATGTTCTTCAGTGATTTACTTATTCATGACACTGTCAGTATCTCACATTATGTAGTCATATGGCAGGATGACAGTGAATAATGAATTGGGATGGATTCAGTTATTCAGTATTGAGGGTGTGGGTTTTACCCCATGCACCGCGACTGATAGTATATTGTACGGCCCCCTTTTAATTTCTACAGTCTCCATCACCTACCGGTACTGGTGCTCGCTATCAGCCCCTTTCTGCCAGCGAGGTTCCAATCCTCTACTGGCAGTGGTATCTAATAGTTAGTCCCTTTCTGTCAGAGAGGTCGCCCCTCCTCTGGCAGTGGTACCTAATACTTCCCCATCTACCGGAGGCATTGGAAACTACTTTGGGCGGGAAACTTTTGGGCCAAATTTAGCTCAGAGGTCTCCTAGAGACATGAGGTTCTTTTACATGCGGTAAATCTACGACACAGGACCCACGGCTTAAAGTCCCTCCCGGAGGACTTGTTCCCTGAATTTTTCCGCCCTTAAAAATTCCATGTCCCCAGGGTTTGAACCCATTGGGAAGTATTAGTAAGAAAGCTATCATAGACTAATGAAGGTACTGTTCCAGCATTTGCCTGAAGGGAATATGAGAAACCATGAAAATCCTAAGTCATGAGCCAGTGTATCAGTTGAAACTTGAGCCAAGCTCCTCACAAATACAAGTCTTGAGCATTACTGCCTGACTAATCTCCTCAGTCCAGCTGACATTCAATTCAAGGATACACTGCATATGAAGCAGGACACCTAAGCACTGCACAGCAACAGGTATGTCATTTATGTTTCAGGAGTACATATGTTAAAATTCATGAGAAAATGCAAACAGCCAGTTCTATCTCTATCAAATTCCACACAAAACTCAGCATGGTACAGCTTGCTTCATAAGGATCATCAACCACCATATCTATCTGAGGTGCTGGAAATTTAAAAGGCAAAGCTATCCTTGTAACAGGCCATGGAGGTCCATAGGGTTGTGAGATGTCAGGGCTCCCACATTTTCTAGACAATCGGCTCACAGATGGCAGTGAGGCTGTCAGCCTTAAACGCCGGCCACCCTTTATCCCCCAGGAAGATTCCTGGTACTCATTTCTGTTAGAGGCTGAGTGAGTAAACCCCAGGGCCATAGTGTGGCTGGAAGGATTAGGTAAAGTGAAAAATCCTGTGACTTCATCAGGAATCGAATCCACAACCTTCCAGCGTGTAGCATAGTGCCTCAACCAACTACACTACCGCATGACCTGAGGTGTTAGAAATTTACAAGTAAAATATAGGATGATTCAGAAAAATAGACACAATTTCAGTTGGCTATATTTCCTGAATTGCATTTTGCATTTGAATTCTGTAAATTACATTTGATTATACATACATGAAAGTTTATAGATGCTCAATGTGCCCCCCCCCTCCAGCTGCATGGATAACATCTAGACAGTAGCTGAATTCATCCCACACTCGATGACAAATATCTTGCGTCACTGAGTTCACCGAAGCTGTAATATGGTTTCTTAGGTCATTCAAATTTGTGGGAAGAGGTGGTACGTAAACTGCATCTTTCATGAATCCCCACAGGAAAAAGTCGCGGGGTGTGAGATCAGGAGACCTCGGTGACCAGAACTGAAGTGCCAGGTCTTCATTCCCCATGTGACCTATCCATCGTTGAGGTAGAAATTCATTCAGGATATGTCGAAGATTCAGGTGCCAGTGGGATGGAGCTCAGTCCTGCTGGAAAATGTAATCTCCTGAATCTTCATTCATTTAAGAAACAAGCCAGTTTTGCAGCATGCTAAGATACGTTACTGCAGTAACTGTGTTTTCATCAAAAAAGAAAGGTCCATAAACCTTTGTTAACGATATTGCACAGAACACATTAACTTTCGGGCTGTCCCTCACATGTTCGAGTGTTACACGGGAATTTTGTAGCCCCCATATGCGAACATTGTGCCTGTTGACTTTCCCACTTAGGTGAAATGTAGCTTCATCGCTAAGAATTACACAAGGCAGAAACAATTTATCTTCCATGTTTTTGAGCAAACAGTCACAAAATTCTACATGTTTTACCTTATCGTTTGTGCGAAGAGCCTATACCAGTTGTAGGTGGTATGCTTTGTACACTAACCGGCACCTCAATACATGCCAGACAGTTGTTTGCGATAGTCCAAGTTCTCTACTAACACTACGGGTTGACTTCATTGGGCTATGCTCAAAGCTCACTCGAATGCGCTCCACATTCTCCTCCGATACATGCGATCGGCCCAGGCTTTTACCCTTATACAGAGAGCCAGTTTCATCAAATTGTTTATTCCAATGATAAATGATAAATGCTCTTCCTCGATGGAGGTCACATGTAAAACTTACAACAAAATGCATGCTGAACTGCAGTCGCAGACTCACTTATACTGAATTCACAAATGCAAAAAATCTTGTGTTGCATAGTAGGCATCTCGCTTACAACTGACGCGGTGCTGGAGTGCTCTAGCGGTAGTACTAGAAACTTTACAACATCCTCTTTCAAATGTATTTTACAGAATTCAAATGCAACATATAGTTCAGGAAATACAGCCAATTGAAATTGTGTCTATCTTTCTGAATCACACTGTATATCCATCATGAATGAGAAACATAATCTTGACCACATTTTTGAGATATATGCCAGGTAACAAAAACAGAAGTTCAGGAAATGTGATTACTCCAAAACCACAAACACCTAAATACAAATGTGGCAAATGCCCTCCAAAAAGAAGGAAATTTATAATTCAATACAGTTAGATCTTTTGTGTGTGTGGACCCAGGCAGAACCATGATGCTCCTCCCACCATGTTGGGGTTATTCATGAAGCATGGGTTCACTCATTGCAGTAAGAAACAACAATTGAAATGCTGATATAGCAAGGATTCTTCAAATTAAGTTCTCTAACCATACTTCCCTTGCCAAAATTATTTAATTAAGGGAATGATCAACTTATGCATTGTTTCACACCCTGAGAGACGCTCCTCCAGCAAGATACCATCCCGGGACCGTCTACTTGTAATTCAACTATTGTCTTCCTTAGGCTTAGGGTGTCACTACTGTCCCTAACGTCGCCAGTTTGCTCCTAGTGTCATAAACACATTGGCTGACATTGTGCGAAATCGGCCAGGAGGGATCTTGGGTTCCCTGCTCATGTGCCTTGAAGACCTAAAAAGGTTTATGATGGGCATTTTGAAAATTACAAATGTAGGACAGATGCTGGGCTCGACCCTTGGCTTCCTCTTGTTAGTTTTCTTGTTTTGTTTTATGCCCACTGGGGGACTTGTAAAGAGAGGGCAGTCGGTTATAGGGAGCGGAGGACGGTTGTTGAAATGTAGACAGAGGACAGAGAAGTGTTTTACAGTAGGGGGTAGCAAGTAGGAGTGGCTAGCTTGGAGGACTAATGTAAAGACTGATTACTGTACAAAATTTTAAATTAAGACTGCAATACACGGTGTGTTCTGGAGACCACGTAATTCATGAACTCCGAAGTGTGTTCCACTCCCATATCCGAAGCACCCGTATCCCTGAGATAAAGAACTCATCTCGAGCAATAGTCGCGGCAGCTGTACCTCGGAGGTCGGTTACATTGCAGTACCTTCAAATAATGTGCCACAAGTGGAATGAGTTTAATAAATAAGTACATTAGTACAATCTCGCATCCAGACAATGACTAACTCTGAAACCAGGAACGATTATTCACTTATGGTTTATTTAATGATGCTGTCAGTCACTCACATTATACAGCATCAAAATCAGGAACGGAATATAGCATCTATCATCCCTATAATTCAGTATATGTGCAGATACTTATAACCATTTGTCACTTGTTACAAAATTACCTTCGAAAAACATGAAAAATTAACATGCTAAAGTTATACTGCATAATGTATGAAAAAGCAGTTTATATTACATGGAGAATATAAATTCCTTTCGCCAGCTAAGTGCTGAACTGTGTAGTGGTAAAATCTAGAGTTACAGGCTATCACTTATACAGTAATTTATCGCTTGATCTTGGTACGGGTATTCGATACTGTACGTAATTTGAGGAATGTGGAGAAATTAAAACATCCGAAAGTAACGTACCTGTCCCGTGATGCCGGTAATAAGTGCCACTTTCTTGACATGAGATGGGCAACTGTTATCTCCCGATTCCATTGGAAGTTATTGTAAAACTGTTACGATAATAACATCCGTTGTAATATATGTCCTATACGTGCCACGAATACACAGCAACTAAAATATGAAGTGGAAAACATTCATCCCACGACCCCACTTCAGTAGTACAAGCTTGTACCATTATGAACACAATATACACCAAACTGTCATGATCTCCACATTAATTATGTAGAACATTTTGAGGTATGCGGTACCGCCTCAGGTCTGTAAATCGCTCTGAATCTCTCACTACATGGTGATCACACACATCAGCATACACAATAACTACAGTACACTTCTGACCTATGAATAAGTTCACTTGTTTACACGCCGAATTTTCTGTTGTGGATATTGGTATTCATGTCCTTCGGCGCCGCCTTCACGATTTCAACGTTCTCATTATATGATGGACCAACTACTCTGATATCCAAAACTAGAGCTAATTGAAACACCGTATATTGCAAGCAATGTGTTTTTAATATGACTGTACACAGAGAAGCTAGATAGTAAACGAAAAGTATAGCGTTTGCCGGTATAAGTGTGTTTTCGTTTTGGGTGAGCTACTAAATCAGTGAACATCATGAAATTAGTAAGGTATTTACGTTTCATTTTCTTTCGATATATACCTCTAACTTTTGTTTACAACTGTAAACTGTGATGGTGTAGGAATGTTACCAGTTTAGTTAGACAAGATCGATTATATTCGGTCCTTTGATACTAGGGATTCTTCTGATTATTGAGGTATTCCGTTTGCTGCAGTAACTATTACAGTACAAAAACCGAATAAGCGGATCAAGCGGTAACGTTCTGCACTTACATTCAGGAGGTGTTCATTTGATTCCCCGCCAGAAAACCGGCCATTATTACATGTTTTCCGTGATTTTTCCCAGTCCCTCAGGCAAATGGTGTAGTCAATTATTGTCAATTCATCATCCTACCATTCGACACAATATAGGCCGGATACTGAAGTCAGTGTATAATGTTTTAAGCAGTTTTCAACTAATGTTAATGTTTGAGAACCTTCAAATGATGCATAACCCAACTCATAAGGGAAAACCTTAATATTTTGTAAAATATCCCTATACAAATGTGCTGTTTCACAGTTTCTCACATTCGTATGTACAAATGTCATGTGTGCTTAAGAATCTCGTTTTCATCTTTCAGGTTTTTGATGAAACTGAGCCATGAGACAGTGACCATTGAATTAAAAAATGGAACCCAGGTTCACGGAACAATAACTGGTAGGTGTCTGGATGGAGAACTAGAGCCACATGGAAACCATTATAACCTATATAACCCTTTAATTTTTATTAACTTTATTTGTATTTAATTAACCAAATCACCTCATTTGAAAAGTGCTTATGCAGAGAAAGTAAAAGCTACATTATGCTCAGAAAGTCAGGGATATTGTATACTCTAAATTGTAAGTACCATGTTGGTAATTTCAGAGTGAACATATTTCATTGAAAAGGCATAAACAAATGAAAATGATTAAAACTGTTATGAACAGTTTAAGTTTTCATAACAGTGACTGTACAGACTGTGGTCTTCTGGGTGGATACTAGAGTGTTAGAGGAACATGCTGCTTCTAGCATTCTGTAGACAGAGGCAACATGAATTTCCATCTACTAGACCAGTGTTTCCCAACCTTTTTGATGCCGCGGACCCCCTGTACCGAATGTTAATTCACTGCAACCCTCATAAAACCCAAAATGGAATTTTTTTATATTTTACGTATCATAAACGTGAAGCTGTAACTTACAATTTTACAACACTAAATGTGTCATTTATGACAATAAAATACTGTTATAAATGGAGCTTATTCAGAAGATTACGAACATATCAGTTAGGCCTAATATTATGAATTTAACACACCTAATGTGATGACTGGTGCTGTTTTTCACATGTCAACTTTTGCATGTCAGGATCAAAACTGGATAATTTCAGACATAGATCTGGCTCCACATTAAATCTGTTCCTATTTCTGTTTTTCATGTGTACAAGATGAGAAAATGTCTTGCACAGATATGTAGTGGAAAATGGCAACAGATGTCTTACAGCCTTTTGAAAATTTCAGGGTAAACAGACTTAGCTTGGAACCAAAACTCCAAAACGGTAACGAAGGAAACAGCATTTTGAACGTTGAATCACATGACAGCTCGATAAGTTGCTCTCCCTCAGCAGAAGGAAGTTCAAATTCAGAGTCTAGAAAGGGATTTTTCATCCAGTCCTTATTTTCAGGACAGAGCAGAAAATATGGACGTAGTTGAGACGCCAGTGACCTCATATGTTCAATCATACTTTCAGCAACATCACTAGAAAGGGGTTGTTCACTGAAATCAATGAAATCACTCAGCGTGTGAAAGGAATCGTATTTTCCTTTCTCGATACGGTTGCACCACAAATTTAACTTCTTGATTGTTGCCTCTATCTTGTCCTGCACAGAAAATACGGCGATAGATGTACCTTGAAGGCTTGAGTTAAGAGTATTCTAGATGTTAAAAATGTCCACCAAGTAAGCAAGAGAGGAGAGCCATGTGAATCATTTAAATAGTGTGTTAACTGAAGTTTGGAGTTTAGGAGGAACAACCTTACTTCATCACGAAGCTCAAACAACCACGTCAAAACCTTACCCCGGGACAGCCATCGGATTTCTGAGTGCAATAATAAGTGTTCGTGATCACTTCCTATTCCATTACAGAGTGCAGAAAATAACCGGTTGTTAATAGGAAGGGCTTTAATAAAATTGACAATTTTTACTGCCTTGTCTAGAACGGTTTTCATTTTGGAGTGCATACGGCGTGCAGCTAGTACTTCGCAGTGTATGCAACTGTGTGTCCATTTAACAAGAGGTGCGAATTTCTGGATACATGCGACCAAACCTTTATGTGTTCCCGACATTGCCTGAGCACCATCTGTGCTGATATCTACACATTTTTCCCATTGAAGTGTATCTGTATTTATGAAGTTATTGACAACTTTGAAAAGGGCTTCAGTAGTTGTATTAAGAGGCAAAGATTCACAGAACAAAAAATCTTGACACAAAATTTATTTTTGTGTTCATATTGCACAAAAGCCACAAAATTAGCATTATTTGAAATATCGTGGCTTTCATCCAACTGCAACACAAAATAGTCACTATGACGTAACTGTTCTAGCAAAATAGCTTTCACATTTTGAGCCATCTCGTCGATTTTTCTTTTCGCAGTTTTGTCAGATAACGATATTAGAGACACCTTGTTGACATGTTTTTCACTAAACAAGTTCTTTGTTATCATTTTTGTAGCAGGCAAAATTAAATCTTCCCCAATTGTATGGTGTTGTCCATTTCTAGCGATCAAAAGGGCGACTTCATAAGAGGCAAGAACAGCCTTTTTTCATTTTTCGTTCCACATATAATGTCCTTAACTATATTTTGTGAACCACAAAGTTGCAGTTCTTTATTTTGAAAATATTCTGTTGGCTTATTAACTGATTCGCCATGTTTCGTTTCAAGGTGGCATCTCAACTTCGACGGTTTCATAGATTCATTCGATAACACTTCGCAACAAAGAACACATTATGGTCTGTCTTCGCCGTCTTTATTCAGAATGGAAAATCCCATTTGCAAATAGAATGGACAATATTTGCGTGATTTTTTTGAGGGAAGGAACTTTATCTGCACTAGTACTATTTTCAGCAACACTAGATCCACTCAGATTATCGTCTGTCTTACGTTTCAATGATCCACACTTTAACCACTAATCCATATCGAAATAAGTTCGTGAACAAACTGAAAATCAGAAGTTTTGTTGTGAACTCAGTTATTTGAACAAGAGCAGAAAAACTGAATATTAAACTGAGAAGAACACACTTGTGTAATATTATAAAAATTCACTGCACAAAAACTAAAGACACACAGGTTGTTCACTCTGCCACTGAAATGAATAAGAAACATGGTCAATGATCCCAGCTTTAGTCCCAACCAAAGAGGGATGGATTTGGTGGGGGAGAATGGTCAGACAGCAGGTAAGAAGGACAACAGTCTACCCTGAAACACGGGTCTGAGATGCAATGGGCGACCAAAAGAAAATGTCCTTGGAAAAAGCTACACAAATCGTTGGTTATTCACCTCTGCTTTACAAAGGGAAGGTACTGTTATGGTACCAACAGTCCCTTTAAATTTTACTTCAACCATGGGCCTCAAGAGCCAGAGATATACACTGCAAATATCCCACGTGTGAAGAACATGATAAGATAAAGTTTAATGAAAATAAACTATCCCGCGGACCACAGGTTGGGAATCACTGTACTAAACCATGAAATGTAACAACCCAGAAGACCAGAATCTGAACACTTATTGTAGACAGTTCACAACTGTACAACTAAATGTAGTGAGCAGTTGGTGCAACTTTATGCATGGGCTATACTCTTGGTTCTATTTTTTTTTTTCAGGAGTGGATGTTGCTATGAATACTCATTTGAAAGCTGTGAAAATGACTGTCAAAAATAGAGACCCAGTACAATTAGAAACTTTAAGTATTCGTGGCAACAACATTCGCTATTACATTCTCCCAGATTCACTTCCATTGGAAACACTTCTCATTGACGACACTCCAAAGGCCAAGGCAAAGAAGAAGGAAGCTGCACGAGGTATGTGACAAACTATTCTGAATTCCATGAAGAAACTGGACTTAGGTTCACCTCAGTTCTTAGAATCTTAAAGATATGACATATTTCATGGTAATATAATTCATTGATGAAAAAAGAATATATGTGATGGACAAAGTGTAAAGATGGCCATTAAATCGTTTGAAAATGTGGTAAAGTTGAAATGATTAGAATTGACAGTAGGGAGCATATATAATTCAGGTTCAGAATCTTTAGGAATATAAATTGGTTGTGTTAAGAAAAAGAACTGGGGAGAATACATGGACCAAAAAGGGGGGAGGAAGTACAAGGAGGGTGTAAAGAACTGCATAATAAGCAGCTTCATAATTTTTACTTTTTGCCAGATATTAGGATCAAATTGAGAGTAATATGGACAGGGCACATGGCTCTGACACAAATACATATAAAGAATATTGGTTGGAAAATTGGAAGGGAAGAGATGACTTCAGAGAAATAAGATTAGATAATATTTAAATGGATCTTAAAGAAGTGGGATGTGAGGATGTGGATAGGGTTCAGCTGGCTCAGAATATGGTCCAGGGCAGGTTGCTGTGAACATAATAAGCAGCCTTTAGGTTTGATTAAAGGTGGGTCATTTCTTGACCAGCCAGACAAATGTCACATTCTGAAGGATGACTAAGGTATGTGGAATTGGAATCCATTGCTGAAGTTCAACATAAAACAGTGTTTTAAATGTGCAGCTGTCCCAAAACTATCGCATCAGCTAAACAGATGCAATTAATTGTCAATTTCCAGGTGCCAGCCGAGGTCGGGGACGAGGACGAGCCAGAGGAAGGGGTCGTGGAAGAGGTAGAGGGAGACGATGAAGAGGTTCCTGCTTGTTTAGTGTGTGGTATACTGCAGTTCTGCAACAGTTGGCTTACTGCAGTCATGAACAAATGACTTTGCATTTTGTCTTGTGCTATATGGACACACATATGGAGAACAGAATTAAAGCTGTTACTAAAATGTGTATTGGATTTAGGAGTATGTTACAATTACTGTGATGAACTTTTTAGTGTGGCTGTAACAGCACTGTAGTTTCCAGACTTTTGATCAGCACTTTATATAAAGTTCATAACAAATCCTGTTTCACTGTGAAATCTGTTTAGCTAATGTTGAATCGTCAAAACATACCAAGAGACACTAGTCATGCTTTGCCTTCTATGCAGGAAGCTGGCTGTGTTACTTGACACCATCTGGTGGTTGGAAAAATTAAGGAGAGTCAGTAAGTAAACAACACAAAAGTGTCAGGCTGAAATCTGAAACATGTTTGCGACTTTGGAAAATTTGGATGATAATGCAGAATTCAGCGGGGCTTAGAAAGTACTGGAGAGAATATAAAAACTTACAAGAAGTTGAGGTAATTAAAATTTAAAACAGCATAAACCAAATTTAATGAAGAATGCTCAAAAAATTGGGTTAAAGGAAGAAAGGTTAAAATTATGATGGATGCAGAATCCAGTCCAAATATCATAAACCATGAAACTACCAGATATTTCAAGAATAAACAAAATTGCAAGTTTGTAACATGTGCCTTTGTCAGATTGAATTATGACATACTACCATGAAGCTTTTCAAGTCATGTGAGAAAGGGAAGTGATGTTATGTAGGAGATGCCTTATTTCAGATAAACTGGATAAGATTATGACAAACTCCAGTAAACATTAAATTCATATATAGCTATTCACACCTGGTACTCACATTATTCAAATTGTCAAGAAGTGAAAACTGTATACTGAATGAGCAAACAGTATTAGGGCTTCACATTAAGGTCTCAGTGTTAGTACAACATATACAGTTGTTTAATATAACTTTATGCTTCAAAGGCATATTGTAACTGAGTACCATGTTAGAACACAGATCAGATCTCTCTCCTTCCTCTTTTACCTTCTTTTACCACTCTGAAATTGAAAGCTAAATGCAGATTTCCTTCAGCTGCAATTTTTTGCTCTATGTCCCCCCCACCGATCTACGTTAGTTCCAGGCCTCACTTTCAATCCCACGTCACGAGTTTACCTGTTCATCCCATTCTTACTATGTGAAATTCAAAACTACAAGGTTTGGGAGGCCTACACTGTCATAACATTCACATCAGACACAGTGAAAACCAGTCAACTGTTTGGAAGTTGAAATTGGGGGGGGGGGCAGAGATAACATAGTGATCTCAAGTGTTGTTTTAAGAAAGAAAAGTAAGCTAGAAGTTGAACTGGAGTGTAGCAGTGCATCAGGTATATGCAGATTTCAAGATAGCCTATTAATCAGTTATGAGAAAAGTACTATACAACATTCTCAAGCTTCCTGTTTGTCGAGTATGCTATGACCATGAGACTAAGCTATCCATGTCGCAGGCCGTGAAGACCCATAGGTTGTGAGATGTCAAGGCTGCCACATCTTCTAGACAATTGGCTCTCAGATGGTGATAAAGTTGTAAGCCCCCCCCCAGGAAGATTCCTAGTACTCATTTCTGTTAGAGGCTGAGTCAACTCCAGGGTCATAGTGTGGCTGGAAGGATTAGGTAAATTGAAAAAAGTCCACCTCATCAGGACTCAGACCTGCAACCTGCTGGCTTGTAGCATAGTGCCTCAACCAGCTACACTAATGAGACTAATTACACTAATCAAAATGTGTTCAAACAAAATGTAAAATCCATATTGGTATTCACTTGTCTGATGCTTTTCCTACATGATCTTTACTGAGATAAAAGGGTAAAGTTGTCCCTGTGCTTAATTAATTAAGCACTAAGCCATGAAGGCATATTGGGGAGTGGATGTACAAATACACATTTTCTTGGCCTAGCACTAGTTGGAGGTGAGTGGTCAGCTACACACCTCGGCTGCTTTACCCCTGGGGAACAAGCCCCTGGTACCCATTGGATAGGAGGTTGGGTGGACCCCAGAGCCAGTCTGGATGACTTGGAGAAGAGAAAATTCTTGCCCTTACTGGACTCAAACTCTAAACCCTTGGTTGTCCAGCCCGTAGCCAGTCGCTACACTGACTACGCTATCCTGCCTCTTGAATCTTTACTGAGACAAAAGTAAAAAACGAAATCATGCATGTTGATCCTAAGGCCTCCACATCATGAATCCACAGGCTTATCCCTCTACTACCAAGTTTTAGTATTGTCACGTGTTTGGTAGGTCACACGACAAATAACTTTACGCCATCTTAGATCTAGCGAATTTATTGAACACTCGCTCTCACAGTTACACAATTTACAGTACAACTACTCCTGCCATCAGCAGTATCACAGTTCCTGCTTCCATTCATTCTGGCAAATGGTTGACTGCAACTGACTAGTCGACTCAATACTCACTACTGGATACTCCGGTAATCCTCTTGTTACGTAGCTTCCATACTGACAACACAGAAAAGTTACGCAATAGCTACCACTGTTGCGTAACGTCATGTTACAGGTGTTGCTGGGGAACGCTGCTGAGAGTTGTTTATTGCTGCGTAGTAACCGTGCTGTCCCCTGTTATGTCACCACAGGGGAGGGGGATGGAGTGTTGAAGGGCCTGTTAATGTATCAGCTGCAGTTGCTCCGATGCTGTTACGTCACCGCTGGAAGGGGGGGGTGTTTACCGAGCATTGCGCCGTCCACATCACATGTAATATTGCAACTATGCAACAGCCATACAAAAGGGAAGACTTTTAAAGTCTGTATTTCTATAACTAAGACCTACTGGAGGATTTCAAAGTGAGAACTATTTTCCAAGCCCCAACACACTTTCTTCTTCTGAGAGCAGCCCCACCCATGAGATCAGACTGTTTCAGCCAAAATTACAAGAGAAAGAAAGCATGTCATATTTAAGAGAAGTTAACAGAAATAAGATGTACTCATTTCTTCTGTGTTAACGTCTTATGGCTGTGCTTTCATGGGAGTTTTATCATTGTAAGGCACTGTATGACAACATTATGTACATGCTGAATTTGAGGTTCTTATGATGGTGACTGGGTTCTTACACCACAGTCTGGAGACAGCTGATTGATTTGGAGGTACATACTGCTTCCATCTTCACAGTTGAAGTGTAAGCCAAGCAAGAAATCTAGAGGCACGCTTAAAGAGAAAGGTGGTATGTTCTCTGAAGTGCATAATGGTACAATCCAGAAGACCATACCCTTCAACACTGTTTACTATAGATTTCATAACGGTTGGTATTAAATTAAGCAATGTATAAACAGTCATTCTTAGGAGTGCCACACTGGGAGATATCACTCAACAGATAGGACTTTTTTCTGTACAACTGTCTACACAAGGTTTGATGCACCATGTTCAAGTAGTATATGGAGAATACAGGGTCACCCTAAACCACAGTTTATTATGACTGCACCAAATTCATTGTCTAAGGTGTGCAATCAATGCTCAGAAGTAATTGCAGTTGCAAGATCTTACTGGAAATGTCCAGAGTTTTTCATCACCAGTTGCTTGAAAAATGGTTTCAGTATCTGTCTTACATATCTCTCACATTTTAATAATAGCTATGATTTCTGTTCTCCATATTTGTTGTTTTGTGGGTTCATATGTCATTATTTCATGAACAATAATTTTTACCTCAGTATTCATAAACTCAAATTTAAACATTTTCTCATTGATAAATATGTCCCATTCATCATGATTTTAAAAGAACATTTTTTTACAAGTCATAAAAATTTTTTAAAAATAAAAATGATTTGATTTCATAAAACAGTCCACTATATTCATTGTAAACTCTGTATCAAAATCAGTAAACTAAAATACAGGGTCCGGCAAATCGACCTCCCGTATTTGGAGAGGGCGCTGTGTGAGTTGTGGGGATATGGTGGCGGAGGGGGTATTGATCGATAGCAGTATAAGTGCCATTTGCAGTAGTCGCAATGGCGTGGCACGGTGAGCATCGTGCGTTTGTTGTGGAAGAGTATATTCGTAATGGTGAATCGGTGATTACTACTCAGCGAGCATTTCGCATTCGGTTCGAACTTCGCCGACATGATCCTGTTCCGGATAGAAAAACTATTCACGTTTGGGTATCAAACTTTAGAGCAACAGGTTCTGCACTGAAAAAGAAATCACCTGGCTGACCTCAGACCATAACAACGCCGGAAAATGTGGCGCGTGTGAGAGCGTCCATCCAGCAATCTCCAAAGCGTTCAGCACTTAAACATGCAGCTGCCCTGGGATTGTCTGATAGGAGTGTAAGAAGAATCCTGCACAGAAATCTACACATGCACCCATACAAAATGATGGTTACCCAAGAATTAAGTGAGAGAGATTTTGAAACTCGCAAAGCTGCGTGTGAGGACATTCTTCAGAACATTCCCTCTGGCGCTGTTTTGATTTCATCTGATGAGGCCCACTTCCACTTGTCAGGTACTGTAAATAAACAAAATTTCCGCTACTGGTCAGCAGAAAACCCTCAGGAACTTCACCAACGACCACTTCACAGCCCTCGTGTGACAGTTTGGTGCGCCGTTGCTGAATTTGGTGTGTGGGGTCCTTATTTTTTCGAGGAAAATGGGCTAACGGTAACGGTTACTTCGAATCGCTACTGTCACATGATCGAGACCTTCCTCCGACCTAAGTTAAACCAGTTTGTTGGGGACCATGAAGAGGGACAAGCCTGGTTCCAACAAGACGGAGCCACAGCTCACACTTCGCGGCGTTCTTTAGCAATTCTGAGAGAGTTGTTTCCTGGACGTCTTCTCTCTTTGTGAGGAGACATCGCCTGGCCCCCAAGGTCACCCGATTTATCACCTTGTGATTTTTTCTTTGGGGACACTTAAAGGCGCAAGTGTACAAACATCGCCCCACAACCCTGCAAGCACTTAAGGAGGCAATCACCCAGGCAGTGGCTGCCATTCCACCGGAAATGACACGAAGAACTATGGACAACTTCCGGGAAAGGCTTCGTCAATGTGTGAACAATGGAGGACGCCATTTACCGGAAATAATTTTTAAAACCAAGTAATGTAAAATAGCATCGTATTTGTTGTTCACAAATAAAAGTATTTTTTCTGTATCTTTCTTTCTTTGTTTGTAACTGCCTTTTGAAATACGGGAGGTCGATTTGCCGGACCCTGTATTTCATATTAATGCATATCCTATACACTGTTTACTGGATTTGTAACCATTATATAAATACCATACATCAAAAAGGCAAAGAACATGATTATCACAGCCACTGCAAAAGTTTTACTGTTCTCTTTATGTAGCCTTCGTAGTTCTGATTCGTTCTCAGTTAGGAGACTCCTCACGTCTGCCAGTTCCTTTTCTAGTCTCTCTCTGCAAAATTGAAGACACTGTAAAGTGAGCTGCTGAATTGCAGTACCTGTTGATTACCTATGATGTGTAACTTAAAATTCCTGATGACCTGATTATAAATACATCTTAAATTGGTCCACTTCAGATTGGTTCTTAATCAAATGGAATTCTGTCATAAATCTTACCCAGTCAACCCAAATTTCTTACATACATAGGCATGCACAATTCAGTATATCATCTTTCCTCTGCATCTTCTATTGGTTATAAGAAACTATATGTATGGAGAAGCACTTACCTTTCTTCTATAGATAAGTATCGAGACTTAAGGCTTTTTTCTAATACTTCTACTCTATGAAAACAAGTTTTTATTGACTGTTCAGCTTTCTCAATCTGTAAAACAAAAGAAAACTTTTATCAGTTTTACTCAAACACGAAATTAAAAAGTAAAGCTATCCCTGTAACAGGCCCTGAAGGCCCATAGGGATGTGAGACATTGAGGGTCCCACATTATCTAGACAATCAGCTCAAAGGCTGTCAGCCTTTTTTACAATTGACTTAATCCTTCCAGCCACACTGGGGTTGACTCAGCCTCTAACAGAAGTGAGTATCAAGAATCTTCCTGGTGGTAAAAGGAGGCTGGCATGTAAGGCTGACAACCTTACCACCATCTGTGATCCTATTGTCTAGATAATGTGGGACCCTAAATGTCTCACAACCCTATGGGCCTCCATGGCCTGTTACAGGGATAGCTTTACCTTTTATTACTTCATTACAAATTCCATGTTACCATATTACTTTGAACATACGAGGCTCATCCACAAGTAAGTTTCCCTGGGGCTGTTTACAGAAACAAAACACAATTTCATGGAAATATTTATTGCAACGGATACAGCAAGTGTTCAGCTATTTTTCAACATAATCGCCACCAGAACTGAGACATCTGTCATACCGTGGGACCAACTTTTGAATACCTGTGTCGTAGAAGTCTGCCGCCTGGGATTGGAACCACTGTGACAACCATCTCCGCCTCTCTGTCATTCTCAAAACGCTGACGGTCACCGGACAGGAATTTCTTGAGGTGTAGGAAAAGATGAAAATCACTGGGAGCGAGGTCCGGGCTGTGGGATGGATGATTAAACACCTCCCAGCTGAACTCCTGCAGGAGACTTGCTGTCTGTCGAGCCGTGTGCGGCCTAGCGTTATCGTGCAGGAAGACAATACCAGCACTAAGCATCAAGCGCCGCTTGTTCTGAATGGCCCATCGCAATTTCTGCAGTGTTTTACAGTAACGCTCAGCATTCACAGTCTCACCTCTGGTCAGGAAGTCGACGTGGAGAACGCCCCGTCTGTCCCAGAATACCGTGCACATCACTTTCCACGCCGACAACGTCTGCTTGAATTTCGTCTTACAGGGAGATCCACTGTGATGCCAATGCATTGACTGCTGCTTGGTTTCTGGAGTAATGTGTGCAATCCACGTTTCATCACCTGTGATGATCCGGTCCAGAAACTCGTCACCGTCATCATGGTACCACTGCAGAAATGTCAATGCTCACTCCATGCACTTTGTTTTGTGTTCTGGTGTCAGTTGCTTCGGCACCCACCTGGCACAAAATTTCCTGAACAAGAGGTGCTCCGTGACAATTTCGTGCAACAAGGAGCCGGAAATCTGTGGGACATGACTGCTGAGTTCCGTAACTGTGACGTGATGATTCTCCGTAATGCGTTCCCGCACAAGCTCCACCAGGTCGTCTGTAATGATGGATGGCCGCCCACTGCGCTTCTCATCATGCACACTTTGTCGACCTGCTGAAAATTGTCTGCACCAGCGATGCACCATCTGCTTGCTCATGACGTTAGGCCCATAGACCCGGCACAGCTGACGATGAATTTCGATCAGTGCTATGCTCTGTGCATTCAAAAACTTTATCACTGACTGCACTTCACGGTCGGCGGGACATTCAATAAGAGCCTCCATCTTCAACAGCTGCAACAATGCTACTGTGGGAATGCGGGAAATTCCGTTAGTGCATGCGCCATGCTAGCTCATTGCTCTGTCATGTACCCGCAGTCACTTCGCGCAATATAAGGTTTGCTAGCTGTGGGACAAGTGGGAAACTTACTTTGTGGACGTGCTACGTAAGATGCACGGTTTACATATTTTTTTCCCATTGAAAAACTCAGGTGCATCTTAAATTCGAGGAATGTGCACTTTTTTCATTTTTTCCCCTAAACCTTACATTCAAAAACTGGATGCATCTTATATTCGAATATCATAAATTTGTCAGACTCAACCTCCAGGTTTTGTATCATCCCCCACTGTCACAATCAAGCTGAAAACCAAAGAAAATGTTTGCATGACTGCTATGCTATTGTACATTCTACAAAAAACTACAACTACAGAAGTAGTATATTTTTCCAAGATCTATTACCACACATCATATCAAGACCATACATTAAGCAAACTCAAAATTTTTACATCCACCATACTGTTATTAGGAGCCAGTGAGTATAGTGTCTGCCTATGGGCTGAATGGCCAAGGGGTCGGACTTCAGGTCTCAGTAGTGGCGAGATTTTTCTCCTCTCCACATCGCCCATACCAGTTCTGGGGCCCACCCAGCCTCCTATATAGTGAGTACAGTGGGCTCTTCCCCTGAGGGTAAAGCAGCTGGGGTGTGAAGTTGACCATGCACCTCCGAACAGTGCTGAGGTCAAGAATACATGGATCTATACAGCCATTCCCCCATACATCTTCATGGCATAGTGCTTAATTAATTAAGCACGGGGACAACTTTACAGTTATAGATTGCAGGTAATTAAACATTTAGGTTAAGATGACCTTCAGTGGGATAACCAAGCTTTGTGTGAACATACATTTGATATATGTCTCAAAAGTTGCATGAGGAGCACACACTCTGTTGGCAGTTATTCCCCCCCTTTAAGAAAGTAAAGTAGGTTGGTCCATCGAACAGGCATTGTGAATAAATGAGAATGCTATAATTGACCTCAAGAGAGGCAGAGAAGTGTAAAAGGTTACATGGAGGCAAAGTGTTTGAAGCATATAATGGGCTCTACCACTGATAATAACAAGGCTCTTTACTGTATTATTTAATGATTGTTCTTCAACTACTCTTGATTATATATCACAAATTAATGTAAGATTGTGAATGACAAGTCAGGATGTGCAAGAGAGTGGTAGATTATGGCCAGTTTAAATTGCAATTCCAAAATCATCTGGAAAAGTACAAAGAACCACCGGGACAACAAGCCTTGCCAAACTTTCAAAACAGTTACCTATGTGTAATAAACAGCAATCATTCCTTTTCACAGATACATATGTTGCCTTTGCACTTTTCACAGTAGTGGCTATGAAAAGTTATATCTTCTGGGATAAACCACCTTGCAACCTGGTGAAAGTAAACAAGTGTTTTGAAAGAGGGACTGCTTTCTGTCTGCTTCATTCTGATTTCTTGCTTGCTCTGTTCTTTGACCCAGAAGATGGGGGCTATATGGTTGATTTTCACCAGACTAAAGAATTTTATATCCCAAACACAGAACTCTTCCATTCAAAAAATCCTGTTTTCTCATGCTATACATAAAAAATGTGAATTAATATTAATAAGTTATCTGTTACTCACCAATATTCACCAGAAGATATGTCTGTTCTGCTTAGCAGGGGACAAAATTTATAATTTATTTTAACAGTAACCGGAGCTTCCCTCTATCCATTACGTCTAGTATGCATGAATAATCATCTCCATACGCATATGCTGCCCCCACGACCCAGAGAATTGGCAGGACATCTTTTATTTAACCATTATTCGGGCAGAATTGACCGGAATTGAGTTCCCTTTTGATTCCGAAAACCCGCTGTAGCCCGCATCTGTCATGAACAAAATTCACTCTTTTCCAATAGGTGGCAGGTTCAACGTACGAGTCCTGTCCGCCTAAATTAGTAAAACGGATACCTCTTGAGACATGTTCTCCAACTTCTCCAATGACCCCTGACAGTTGATTTCCGTTTGGTAACCTACAAACTACTTCTGTACATACCTCTGATATTATAGAGCACGTATTTTTCCCCATTGCTGTCACGTTCCACCTTACAGCTGCCTGCCGTTAAATTGCCATAGGATGTGATATCAAGGCTCATGTCGGATTAATCAGGCTACACGTCATGTACAATACATGTGAACCACGGATTACTAAATGGGCTCTACTCCGTGATTCCTACGATTCCTACAAACCCGTGACAGTAGACCTGTTAACTGTGCAGGCTATTGTCAGTGAGCCGTGGACTAAATTGAGAAAAATGAATTAACCTTGTGTAGAAGAAAAACTCTGCGCCGAAATTACTAAACATTAAATTCAACTAGGTCGGGAGAAAGGGAAACGCGGTAACTACCACCTTTATGTGTGTAGGCAGATTCTACACACACAGATCTCGACCAATCAGAGAGCCTACACAAACCACGCAAGATTTGAGGTTTTCACGGCGGTGAATATGAAGAAAGCAGTCTTCTGGGATGTGGTGTTAACCGACGTTTCGGAGGAACGTATCGCCTCCATCTTCAGAGTAGAAAGAAAAATAAGAAAATCCGCAAGCGAAGAGACCGTGAGTCTGCTTGTACCGGTTCTCACGGTCTCTTCGCTTGCGGATTTTCTTATTTTTCCTTCTACCCTACCTTCCTTCGAACGTCGGTTAACACCACATCTACACGGTGCCACATCCCAGAAGACTGTTCTACACAAACCAATTTGAATTCCCGCAATTATATAAGGTTATGGTGGTTCATTATATGCAAATTGGTAAGTATGAATATTGATTTGATGTGGTTGCGAAACGAAAGTGGACTTTTGAGAACGAAGTTACATCTCCATGTTAAACATATTATTTGTGTATGTGAATGTTATGTTTACTACCACAAATGAAATTAGAAATATATACAATGTTCTGCAACTTTCGGTTGAGCCCAAAGATTGTCAGTAGAATGTGAAGGAGTTGTAAGTGTACAGTGATGGTGTTATAATTTTTGTATTGCTTCTTGCAGTATAAACATGAAAACGAAAACCTGTGCTGCTGTTGGGTGCTTCTCATGCAGCAGGCAAGGCATCAGATTCTTCAACTTTCCAAAGGATCCAGCACAGTATGTCTATTTTAATTCATGGTGTAATTGCTTTATTATGTTTTGCTTAATCTAACGAAATTAAGTTTAGCGTATGTGTATGTTCAGTTTATTCAACATAACCCCAGAATTTAGAATGTGCACCAAGTCTGTAATGTTTACTTAAGAATTATTTCTAGGTTTTGAGACTATCTGTTCTACTTTTACAGGGCTGCGGTATGGGCAGGAAAAGTTGGAATATCCTGCACTATTGATTCCGCTAGAAGGCTGCACAATGAATATTTGTGCAGCAAACATTTCCTGGACAGTGATTTCACTGCAGCTGAAAAGGTACACCTGAACAGAGTGGCAGTTCCATGTGACTCAGATTCTGCTTCATAGTCACATCCACAATCTCCTGTCCCTTCATTATATACACCTTCCTTGGATCCTTTGCCCTCAGTTATAACTCCCACCCCTTACAGCAAGACAGTGGTGCACTCCACTGTAACACCTATTCCTATCCATGCAGACAGTCCTTCCACTTCCTCTCAGATGTCTGCAGTCCAACCACCACCAACAGCAGCCAACAACTTTGCAGCAAAAGAAACCTCTCTTCCCCTAAGCTCTGTAAATACAAATGTTTCCAATGGAGAACTCGGGAATATCAATTGTCAAGGTTCTTCCTCAAAGCCTAGAGCAAAGCATTCTCTGCTAAAGAAAACTTAATTTGGCTTCACTTCCAGAATTGTCACCGAGAGAAAGGAAATTATATGAACATATCTGGAATAAAGAAAGTGCACTCTGTAAACTCAAAAAGGAATAAAAGGGGAAAAAGCTCTGTGATGTGGACAGTGATCCACTGATGCAGAGTCTTTCATCTTGTTTCAGTTTAGGGGCTATAAGATTTTTGGCAGCAATGTTTTGGAACATTAGACAGAAGCCTAAGAGCAGGAGGTGGAATTTTGATGAAAAAGTGTTGGTTCTGTCTCTCCTTAAACATAACCCTAAATCCTATATCCTTCTTCGTTCACTGCTCCCGCTCCCATCCAGACGATCCTTGCAGTCTGTCCTGAATACTGTTCCGTTTAGGACAGGCATCAATGCACATGTGTTTCATGCACTCCAACAGTCTCTGCAAAAAATGTCTGGTAGAAATCACTGTTTTCTTATGTTTGACGAACTGTCAATCAGGGAGAACTTGCATTTCAGCCATAAATTTGACTGCATTGAGGGTTTTGAGGATTGTGGAAGCCAGGGCAAGACATGGAATATTGCAAATCATGCTCTAGTTTTCATGATCCGTGGGCTATGTGGAAAGTGGAAGCAACCAGTAGCTTACTACTTTACTCATGGAAGCACTAAGGCAGAGGTGCCTGTGCAGTACTTGAAGGAGGTTCTTGATGCCTGTCAGAATGCTGGACTGAAGGTTGTTGCCACTGTGTGTGACATGGGGGCTAACAATGTCAAGGCCTTGAAACTGTTGGGTGCTTCCAAAAGGAAAACATTCTTCAGATTTCATAATTAAGAAATTGCAACAGTATATGATCCTCCCCACCTGAAGTTCACCCGAAACCTATTCCGGAAGTATGATGTGCAGTTGAAGTCTGAGCATCTGGGCAACCAACTTCCTGTTATTACTAAGTGAGATCACATATTGAAACTGTGTGAACTTCGACAAACCCAGACGTTTCACCAGTTGTTCAGGCTGACAGACACCCACCTGAACCCCAGTGCAGTGTTATTAATGAAAGTCAACATGGCTGCTCAAGTTATGAGCCATAGTGTGGCAGCAGGCCTCAACTCTCTAGTGGCTGCAGGTAAGGATCACTGCACTGTATGCTATTAACTATGTTCTCTTATGAAAGAAGTGGCTAATGAGAATAATCAGGGCTAATTTTCAAAATTATTATCCCCAGAACCCAGTTCTCAAACGAACATAATTTTCATCATTTATTACAAAACTGTATATCAATACAGCTGATTCTATTATATCAGATAATAATATATAAGCTCCAATTCATCCAAACAAATCAATTACTTAGTAAAAACATTTAGTAGACCTTTTACTAAAATGAATTGGCAGTATACCTCCACTTATGAAATTGAAAAAATGATTAAATCTTTTAAAGACTAAAAACTTAAGTGGATATGTTGAAATTTGAAACAGAATAATAAAATTAAGTTCAACATTGATAATTTCTCCACTTACTCATATTTGTAATGCAATACTTAATACTGGTATTTTTCTTGATAGATTAAAATTTGCCATAGTTAAACCAACATTTTAAAAAGGGAAAACTCGTAATATATTCAACTACAGACCTATATAATCGTTGACTTCTTTTTCTAAGATAAATGAAAAACTTATATATGCAAGACTTATTACTCATATTGAAGCAAATAATCTGTTGGTTCATGAACAATATGGTTTTAGGACACACTCCTTGACTGAGAAGGCAGCTTTTACATTGATAAATAATATTTTAACTGCGATGAATAATAAGTTAATTGTGGGAGGCATTTTTTTGTGAATTACAAAAGGCACTTGATTGTGTTAACCATAAAATATTACTTGATTACTTGGAATTCTGTGGAATTGAAGGAAAATTCAAAACACTTATTAGATCTTATTTGACAGGCAGATATCAAAAGACAGCAACAACTCATCCAAATGGGAAGCAATTACATGCGGTGTTCCACAGCACTTGATTTTTGGTCCCTTGTTTTTTTCTGCTTTATATTAATGATTTACCTAAAATAATAAATAAAAATATGGTATTATTTGCAGACGATACCAGTATTATAGTAACTGACACTACTAAGTTAAACTTTGAAATAAATCTTGATCAAACTTTCAAAGATATAAATACATGGTTTAATGCTAATTTGCTTACCTTGAATTTTAATAAGACTCAGTATGTCAAGTTATGACCTATGAATTATTACAATATCACTACTCAAATTAACTATGATCAGATAAATTTAACAAATGTGACTGAGACAACATTTCTGGGATTAATTATTGATGACACTTTTTCATGGAAACAGCATAATGATTATGTTATTAATAAAATTCCCATTGCATGTTATGCATTGAGAAATATAAAATATATTGTCCCTTTGGATACGTTAAAGGTAATTAATTTGATCATATACATTCTGGGGCATGCATTAGTGTAGTTGCTTGAGGGGCTATGCTACAAGCCAGAAGGTCATGGGTTCAAGTCCCAATGAGGTCATTGGATTTTTTCAATTGATCTGATCCTTCCAGCCACACTATGGCTCTGGGGTCAAATCAGCCTCTAACAGAAATGAGTACCAAGAATTAATTAAATAATTTTCCTGGGGAGTAAAGTGCGGCCAGCGCATAAGGCTGACAACCTTACCGCCATCTCTGAGCTGATTGTGTAGATAATGCGGGACCCTCAACGTCTCACAACCCTATGGGCCTTCACGGCCTGTTACAGGGATACCCTTACTTTTTTTTTTTAACATATACATTCTATCATAAGTTATGGTATAATTTTTTGGGGTGGCTCTTCTTGTGTTAACAAACTTTTTATATTGCAAAAGAAAGTTACTGGAATTATAACGAATTCTAGACCAAGAGAGTCTTGTAGGGAAATTTTTAAGAATTTGGAAATAATGACGCTCTACTCTCAGTATATATATTCATTCCTTTTATACACAATTAATAATAAACATTTATTTAATTGTAGCAATGAGATTCACAAATACAAAACTAGAGCCCTTAATTTACCTGCAGTTAACCTAACAAAATACAATAAAGGTGCGTACATATCAGGTATTAAAGTTTTTAATCATCTTCCTTGAACAATAACAATGTTGGCTACTGATGTGAGAAGTTTTAAATCTGCACTTAAGAGGTTTTTACATCATCATTCTTTTATTCCATGAATGAATATTATCAACATAATTGGTCATAAGTGTGTAAATTTGTAATGTATTTAATTCAGTTAATGAAATTGTATTAATTCAAGTTTTATAGTAAGTTATTTTTAAATTATCTCGTTAAATTTTTTACTTTATATTAATGTAAGTGATTTTGATATGTGACTCATGTAATTTTGTATATGTATCTAGGTATATCTATTTTCAAAGGGAACATTTCCACACCCTAGGTTTGTTACCTGAATGGATATATGGAAAATAAAGGAAATGAATGAATGAATACACAGGTTAGATAGAATATGTCACAATACTAATGTTTTTAGGGTAATTAAAAATATCTGAAATGCAGAACACACTATCAGTAATATGATTTTTGAGAGAAAGAGGTGGTAAAGTCTTTGTTATGAGAAATAAAGTAATCAAATACACAAATTCTTTTTTATGGCAGTCCTTTGCAAAGTGTGTTATTTTTCAGTCTGAAGAAATATGCTAGTCCATCATGTAAGGAAGCTCACTGACGTCCTTTTTTAATGTTCTTTCAGGAGGGTGCTTCAGCGAATACCTGGCAACAGCTGCGTTTGTTAAGGAGGTTGACAATCTCTTTTGATAGTTTCAATGGTGGAATGCATGTTGACCCTGGGAAAACACTGCGTTACCCACTCAACAACAGTCCCCATATAGAGCACTGGAAGGTGTGGGAACTTCCCACAGTCCAACAGACTACTCCTTCAGTCACAAACAGACAGCTCTTTTCCTTACCTTTTCATTTCATAAATATATGGCAGACATATGACCAGATTGACTTACAACCTGCCAGTCAGAACGGAAGTTGGTTGTAAGTTGACGACTAAATGTATATGTTATAGTTCAAATGTCCATTGCATTTCAGTAAGGGGGTGTTGAATTGATGTAAATGAAATTTTCATACTTTACAGGCACTGGTGAGAAACTTTCTCCCGATAAATAATGTTGCAACCTGATCTCTTGTACTGCAGAGGTTCTTAGTCCGTTGTGTGTTTTCTGTTTTTAAACAGAGTTTGATATCGCTTAGCTCATGCCCCTCCAGAAGGTTTTGAGTGAAGTCATATGAAACTCAAATAAGATCTAAAAGATTGTGACAATGATATATTGCTAAAAGTATTATGTTTTTGTACATTATCCATTGTCTCGTCTATTTTTTAAAAAAACTGTCCCAATTCCTTTTCAAGACACAACATTTCAGAGACTGGATAATGTCCAAAAACATAATACTTGTAGCATATGAAACTCAGTTTGAAAACAAAAACACTCAATGGGGTAAGAACCTCTGCAGATTCATGTGAATTAGTGGTTCTTTGGGAGGGAGCAGTACACAAAGGCTGTTGGTATGATAGCATACCCTCTTACCAAACTAGCTCACCGCGGCTATGTTTCCAGCCAGTAGCACTGAGTTCCCCTTCTGTTCTGTGAACTAGATGGTGTGGTATCCAAGCAAATGCACTGATTTTGGAACAGGCTTGACAGGGATAGTACATACCATAACAATCTAGGTGATTTGAGGCAGGTTTGGATTGGAAATTGGGTTTACTGACTACAAGTAATCATAACCGTTTCACTAGTTCACACACTTAGATATTCTATACCTGCTGTGTCACCAGTCTTCAGGTTGCTCCTGTAGCGTCTTCCAACGGCAGACACACCCCTTCCTCTGGGTTCCCGATCTCAACTGCCAGCTTCTCACACCACTTCTCACACCAAGAGCTCAACTGAACCCCAATGGTTATCATTCACCAATTCCTCACTGACCAACAAAACTCAACTTAAAAGTCAAAGTTACTTTACGACGGGTGGTTTACCGCCAATCAGTTCGTCTTGGTGCCAAGCCCCTTGAAACTCACAACTAGAGATTTATTTTCAGCTGAATCCTTGTGGTCATAGCCCTCATGTAACATCCTCTCTAACAAGAGGATAGGTGTCTAATAAATATGGTTGGCCTTGTCAGGTGCATGTATTGCACACAGCATGTTACTTAAAATTCTTCCTTTTGCACTATATACAAGTCCTGTGTTAGTCCAGGCTTTGCTAAGATCATGCCTATTTTATGCTATAATGGCAGTTTAGCCACTCGAGTGGTCAAAAGCCTCTTATATTTTCTTTGTCTGACTTTGCCTTATCCTATACTGCGAACATGTTCATTCTCATGATTTTATGACTTCAGCTTGTTGCCTGAACAATTTTGTTATATAACTGAATACATAGGAAAGCCATGTGTACCTTGGAAAATTTCCAATGGAGTGAAGAATCTTGTTCTGCAGGTGACAGTTTTAAAAGGTATGTGACTTCTGCTAATTCATAGTTGATCGAATCTGATCAGTGCCTTAAGGAGGGTTAGTTTATTTTTGACACTTAAACCCTCACTTTTGAATAGGGAGTAAATTCTAATAAATGTTCTGAAGGCCTTGGCTTCTATCATTTCTATGTGCAGTCTCTATGTAATTGTCTCTATCAAAAATTATACAAATATATTTTACATTAGTGACAAAGGGAATATTCTGTCCATTCAATGTAATATGAGCCTCACAGGGCCTAAGCCTATGAAAAAAGAAGGGGGCCTGAGTCTTAACTTCATTGATTTTTATGTTCCAGCATTTACAGGTTTCAACAGCACTGAGACCTCACTGCAGCTTTCTGAGAATATAAATATATACACCTGTCATCAGCACAGAGACCTAGACAGACACCAGGTGTTCAGGGCTTCTCTCTCTCACACACACACACACACATACTGTACAATGTTTTGGACATGATACCTTATGCCACCCCTTCCTTGCATTATAGAACTCTCTTCACTGTCCTGCATATAACATAATGTATTTTAGCATCGTGTTGCACTGATTCTCGTCCACGATATTTATGTATTGGCCATCTTGTAGTGCACTCAATCTCACATGTCACTTCACTACATGTTCTGCCATCACTGTGCCATCCTCAGGTGTGTTATTTACGTCAAGCTATTGCATTGCTTGCCATCATGTGTCGTTTATAAAATTATCTAAAATGCACATTCTTCACTAACTATAATACAATTTATATATACATCAAAATTTGTTAATATCCATCATCTTACACATCTTAACTCAAATTCGCGTACTACATCATTCTTCCACTTTGGCTGCGAGCCAAAAAAGGACACATCACAAGACACAATATACACAAAATATAGGAAGAACGACTCCCACAGTGGAAGAATGATGAAGTACGTGAATTTGAGCTGAGACATGTAAGATGATGGATATATATAAATTTTATTATAGTTAGTGAATAGTGTGCATTTTAGATAATTTTATAAACAACACATGATGGCGAGTAATGCAATAGCTTGACGTAAATAACACACCTGAGGATGGCACAGTGATGCCGAAACATGTAGTGAAGTGACGTGAAATTGAGTGCACTACAAGACGGCCAATACATACATATCATGGACTGCATATAACACCGCTCATCTGTTGCTGTTTATGGGTCGTTGCCTAGCAACTGCTCAACATGTTACAATATGAACTAAAAATAACACTGCACAGTTTATGACACAAAGCAAATTTTCTATAAGGCTGCCAACATAAATTTAGATTTAATCTACTACATGAGCCCCCCTACAAGAACAGAATAATTAACATGATACTCATTACTTGAAATACATTCCTTAAGTTTTATCAATAGTTTTCAACAGTTCAATTATCTTATTTACAAAATGTCATTTCTGGAACATCAAAGGGGAAATACGCTTCAAACATTCCTGCTCTTGTAACAGAAAATTTTCCAGCATCCTTCTGTAATCCAGAAGAATGAGTCTTGAATTAATTTTATGGCACTCAGTTTAACTGTTCAAGTTGGAATTTGGAACATACATGTGTACGTCCTAGAGCAGCTCCATTCTGTTAATACTTGAGACAACAAAATATTATTTATAATTAAAACTTTATTTCTTCAAAAAATAAATTCCTAAAATTCAATTTTTTTCTTTGAGTATCTCTTTTATTTTTTCTGCAAAGAGAAAATTTTGTCTTCGTTAAAATTAAAGGGAAGTAAAATATCTGCTCTCCAGAAATCTCTTTCAGTGAAAATTCATGCATTTACAAGATGTTAACAGCAAAAACAGGTGTCAATTAAGTCCCCATCTGTTTTGCTGTGCAAATCAGGAACTGGTCTCTCCACAGCTCAAAACTTGTTTCTTATAAAAACTTTTCTGAATTTCAAGTGATACTGCCATTGTCTTGTACACTCATTATAAATCCTTTTCATCATTGACTCTCTTATTTTTTTTGCACAAGACTAATATACTTACTCAATTACCACTGAAACGTTTTATTACTCCAAATATGATTAATCCATCACATGGCATAGTTATATTAATTCTCGGGAACTATCACTTTTTCTTTTTTAACTAATCAGTGTTCAACTGGACTTCGGAATGGATCTGATTTGGTCTGATTGGCATACTCCTAGTATGATACCTGGCATAACTATCTTGTCTAAAAATTAAACTGTAACTCGTAATACCTCTTTCAGACAATGAATGCGTGCAACTGTGTAGCTCTGGTCATTAATTAGTTCACATCACAACACACAACTTTGCCCCTTTACCCCAGATTATACTTACATTTAGCTCTCCATATTAGCAGTTCTGCAGTACATATGCTAAATGAGCACAAACAAAAATGTAGTATTTATTGTATCTTTCATAGTACTGAGGAAACTAACACTTCCAAGGAACTTATTCCTGTCAATTTGCTCTGAAAGAGACACTGCAATGGCGATTTACTACAGTAAAACAGTGGTTTGTGTACTTCAGAATGACCTCCATGCATTCTTCTGTCCCATGTTACAGGAATAAACAAGTGACATTTCATGTAGTCACTGTTAATACATAACCATAAAACATACACATGATAAAAGGTCAGCTCTTCACTTAGTAAAAAATTAAGTTCCTATCTGTACTGATACTATTCTATGATTTGAGTTCTTCAAAGCCTCTTTCACATCAGAGATGATGCTCCAACTTAAGGCTGTGGCTGGGACACACTGCAAGCTTATTCACATGTCACGGTTAGTGACAGATGAACACAGAACATTTATGGAATGACAACTGCACACAAAATTAAGCACTTTGAGAAAAATTAGCATAAGCTACTATGCCCATAACAAATCTCAGACTAAATCTGGTACTCCGCAACGAAAAGTTGAGCACTTCAGCACCAGCATGTGTAATACTGCTGCATATTATGACATACTATACACAATAACAGTACATCAAGATCACCCCTCACTATCTACAACTGCACTTTTATTCCAATGCATGAGAGTGAAATCCTTTGATAGCAGAGATGACACACTGTATATATATTTGACAAGACCACATGCAAACTACATATAATAATAAAAACATAATGCTCTAAACATTTGGAAAACAATTATAATTATTTCTACGAAGGGCGTTCTGTAAATAATGCCTATTTTTTTTTGTGTTAATATGTAACGTCTGAGATGGATGTTGGTGGTGTTGTAGTAAAGGTTGAACCTTCCTGCCAATGTACTGTTAGTTTGGTTGTCATGCAACAGATAGCGACAGCAGAGCAGCCTACCAAAATGGTGTCTGACATAGAAGTGCGTATGAAACAGAAATGTGTTATTGAATTTCTCACTGCCGAACAAATTGTACCCATTGACATCCACTGACACTTGCTAAAGGTGTATGGAGACAATATAGTGGATGTCAGCACAGTGAGGCGGTGGGTAGTGCGTTTCAACAGTGGCAAAAGTGAACTGCACAACAAGCCACGCCCTGGGCATCCCTGCTCAGATGCCACTCCTCACAATGAACAGCGTCTCATCCGTACAGATCAGCAGATGACCAGGGAACTGTGTGCACGGCTTAATATCGGCTGTAATG